GTTGTTGTTGTTGTTGTTGTTGTTGTTGTTGTTGTTGTTGTTTTGTTCGAAAACATGGCCCAACGGAAATCTGGATCCCTTCCCCTGGACCGGGTTTTTATCCTGAATGGTTTTGTTGACAGCCCGGGGCCCAGCAAGGGCCCCCCGGGGAGAGAAGATTTTTCAAAACCACCCGTCGTGGTCTTTTCGCAGCAAGAGGACGCGGGGGATCGGGCCACCTCAGATCGCTGGGAACTCAGAACTGATAGGGCTTCGGGCTACGCGCAGACAGCTCCCCCCCCCAGTAGTCCCGACGCTGGCCTCAACAGGCCTCCTGACCTAGACCACGGGCGGCATGATTTTTTCCTGACGTTGACCCTATGGCGTTCGCTATTGTACGCTCCCGAGGCCCAGGAAGGGCCCCCGGAGGCCGAAGACGGCGAAAAGCCTCCCGTCGCGACTTGTGCATGACCTGCAGGGGGGTCCGGGGAATGGGATCCCGGGGGGCCTCCACAAGCCCCCCGAGGAATTAGCCTTGTGCTGCTCTCATCGTACTTAAGGACCACATCCCAGAAATAATTTCGAGCACCCGGAAAGGCGTCGACAGAGTTTCGAAAGAGTGTCGAAACAGTGTCGAACGAGGGTGTCCCAGGGCCCGAGATGTGAAAGCCCTGGGGTTTTTGGGTGCTGTTCTGGTGCCCGAAATTCTTTCTGGCGATCAGGGCTAAAGTAGGTTGGAGCATCATAGGATTAGCCAGGGGCACCTCAACCCTGTGGCGCGGAGCGCCGCACGGGGGCGCCGTCGGAAACGGCGCCGGGGTGTGTGGAGACCCCCCCGGACTGCTCGGGGGGCCTGCTGGAACTGCCCCGGACTACTCGGGGCGCCTGTTGAGCCCAGACCCCTCTGCAGACATGATCGCGTCGTAGCAGAAATCAGGACTTGAGGTATTTGGCCGTTTTCGGCCTTGGGAGGTCCTCGCCGGGCCTCGGGACCGTCAAAAAACCACGCAGGATAAAAAGCCGGCCCCGGGGAAAGGGTCGGGACTTCCGGGGACGCCGTCTGGAAAAAAATCAGGACGATCACATGTCTGGGCCGACGTCGTGATTGTTTCGTGACGTGACCTGTTTTTCCTCCCGAGTCCCGGCGGAAACCCCTGGAGTTAGGTCGGGCATGTCCCCCTACAGCCGGATTGTGGACGGACAAAAAAAAAGACCATGTTCCAAACATACCCCAAAACAGTCATTAAATCGTCCCCAGACTACTTCTTCAAAACTATTTTTGAATATTCCTCCTGTAGAGGGACACGCCCGACTGAACCCGAGTCCCGAGTCCCGGGGACCGGTTTTTTCTCCCGAGGCCCGGCGGAAGCCCCTGGTGGCCGAAAATGGCGAACAAAACCTCCCGCCGCGATCCGTTCACGACGCGAGGGGGTCTGGGAGGCCGAGGCCCGCCGGGACCCCACGGGGGGCCTGTCGAGGCCAGCTGGGACCACCCGGGGGCGCCCAGACACCCGACGTCATGATTTTTTCATAACGTCGACCCCCAGAGGTCTTGCACGTGAGTTGATTGCGCACTCGGCGCGGGGATTGCCGCCCGCAGGTACCTGCCAGGACCCGCCCCTGACGCTGCGCATTCCAGCGTTTCATAAGAACATCGCCAAGCATCAAGACCAAAGCCCTAGGCCCCCTCTAACTGTAGCGTTCTGTCCCAGCCGGATCGATCGGTGGGGGTCCCGGGGCCCGAAACCCGCCAAAAACGTCCGGCTCAGAAGTTCTGGGACGCCAGGATCCCAGCCCCCCGACGTCATGATTTTGTATTACGTCGACCCCTGGAGGTCCATTGTAGTGATTTTTCAGTGCGGGGTCCCTGGACTAGTTCTTCATCCTGAGTCGTTTTTTGACGGCCCCGAGGCCCAGTAAGGGCCCCCAGAGGCAGAATTTTGCGAAAAACCTCCCGTCATGTTTTTTTCATTGCGTTGGATCTCTGGGGTCTCAGGGCTCGGTTGGCGCCCATAGGTATCTGCCAGGGCGCTTCCTTGGTGCGCCCGAAGGTCCGAGGTGCCTGCCGGGACGCTCCCCGGAGGCGCCCGCGTCGAGCGGTGGCGCCATCCCCCCCCCTCGCCACCTTGGCATCGCTCGGACTTGCGCTTTCTTGTCCTCGGCGAGGACCATTGAGGAGCATCTTGGATATAATTTCCGAAAACCCAGAGATCCGAGGACATGGGGGCGGGGTCTGGGGGCGGGGGGGGGCAGGAGGAGGAGGAGGAGGAGGAGGAGGAGGAGGAGGAGGAGGAGGAGGAGGAGGAGGAGGAGGAAGAGGAGGAGGAGGATGAGGAGGGAGCGGAGGAGGAGGGGGAGGAGGAAGGAGAGGAGGAGGAGGAGGAGGGGAAGGAGGAGGAGGAGGAGGAGAGGAGGAGAGGAGGAGGAGGAGGAGGAGGAGGATGAGGAGGAGGAGGAGGAGGGAAGAGGAGGAGGAGGGAGGAGGAGGAGGAGGAGGAGGCGGAGGAGGAGGAGGAGGGGAGGAGGAGGAGGAGGAGGAGGAGGAGGATGAGGAGGAGGAGGAGGAGGAGGGGAGGAGGAGGAGGAGGAGGAGGAGGAGGAGGAGGAGGAGAAGGGGGCTGTCGAGGGCCAGCTGTTCAACCCGGGGGGGGGGCTGGCCTGGCCAGCCAGGAGCCGAGACATCGCATCGGAGCGGGGCGGGCCGAGGCGCGCCCCCGCGCGGCGGCCCTGCAAACGGCGGCTCTCGCAGTCCGTTTTTCGGGCCGGGCGCAAGGGTGGGATCGCAAAAGGGGTCAGTTTAGAATCAGCTCACGCGGCTGATGTTCCCGGCGCCTCCCGGCGCTGGGACGCGCCCTTGGTATCGAAGAATGAGCCTGGCGGCGGGGCCGAAACCAGCTGCATGCAGCAGATTTCGTAACCCCCTCCCCTCCTCCTCCTCCTCCTCCTCCTCCTCCTCCTCCTCCTCCTCCTCCTCCTCCTCCTCCCCCTTCTCCTCCTCCTCCTCCTCCTCCTCCTCCTCCTCCCCTTTCCCTATCCCCCCTTTCGTTCGGCCCGAGCTTTGGCACGGCAGCCGCCGCGGCGTGGCCTGCCCGCGCTCGGACGTCCCTCGCCGGGTGTGTTTCTTCGACGTCGTGCGTCTGACTCCTGCAGACGTCCACGCGTCCTGAGACAGTCACGACGGGAGATTTCTGGCCGTTTCTGGCCTCTGGGGGCCCTTCCCGGGCCTCGAGGCCGTCAAAAACCGACTCGGGATGAAGAACCGGTCCCGGGGCAGGGGTCCAAACCTCTGGGGGTCGAGGTCGTGAAAAAAACGACGCCGGAGGTCTGGGTTCCCAGGCATCCGCCGATACGATTCGTTCAATCCGCGGCCCCAGAAGTCCCGATACCACTTCCCCGGGGGTGGTGTTTCGTCCCGGATCCATTCTTGATTTTGGACGCCCGAAATGGGCACGGAAAGAATGGGCACAATGCCCAACAACAAATGTTGTCCCAGAGCAACAGCGGCCGCTGTTGGGCAGGCGGCCTCCTGTCTCAAATGGACACAGGCCGCGTCGGCGCGGACAGCGAGTCCTGTTCAAAATGGACAGGAACTGCTGTTGGGCATTGTGCCAATTCTTTCCGTACCCATTTCGTTCGTGCAGATTGGCGGTCCCCGGGCACGACAGCGGGCCCCGGGGGCCGAAACCCAGGAAAAACCGCCGGATTGAACAAATCAGCAACCGCCGGATTGAACAAATCATATGCTCGGGTCTGAGGGTTTTCGGAAGTTATATCCAAGATGCTCCTCAATGGCCCTCGCCGAGGACAAGAAAGCGCAAGTCCGAGCGATGCCAAGGTGGCGAGGGGGGGGGAGATGGCGCCGCCGCTCGACGCGGGCGCCTCCGGGGAACGTCCCGGCAGGCACCTCTGACCTTCGGGCGCCCCAAGGAAGCGCCCTGGCAGATACCTATGGGCGCCGACCGAGCCCTGAGATCCCAGAGATCCAACGCAATGCAAAAATCATGACGCGAGGTTTTTCGTTAAATTCGGCCTCTGGGGGCCCTTACCGGGCCTCGGGGCCGTCAAGAAACGAGTCAGGATGAAAAACCAGTCCAGGGGAATGGGTCGAGCCTTCCAGGGACCCCGTACTGAAAAATCACGACATCGGACCTCCAAGGGTCGACATACTAAAACATCATGACGTCGGGGGGCTGGGATCCTGGCGTCCCAGAACTTCTGAGCCGGACGTTTTCGCCCGGTTTCGGGCCCCTGGACCCCGACATAATTATCGATCCGGCTGGGGCAGAACGCTGCAGAAAGAGGGGGCCTAGGGCTCTGGTCGTGATGCTTGGCGAGGTTCTTAGTAAACGCTGGAATGCGCAACGTCAGGGGCGGGTCCTGGCAGGTACCTTCGGGCGCCCCGAGGAAGCGTTCTGGCAGGCACCTGCGGGCGGCAATCCCCACGCCGAATGCGCAATCAACTCGCGTGCCAATGTCCGCGCTCCCAGCCCCGCTCTCGCTCCTGCGTCGCTCACCCGGGTTTGGCTCGGATGCCTCCCCTCAACAGCAGCACCCCTGACCACCCCTGGGTGATCTGCCCAATCGAAGCCTCTGGCCCTGTTGGACGCTCCCGCGGAACCTTGGCGAGGTCCTCCTTCTGGCCGACGTTGCCGGGGAAGACGACGTAGGCCAGGCCGGGGGCTCGCGTCTCTGGACCGCAGCGCCACGCCGGCACCCCCGGCACCACCGCGCCCAGGACCTCTGCGCAGCGCACGCCCAGCGCGCGCACCGCGACGTCGTTGGAGGTGATGCCCCCCTTGGCGACCAGGAAGCTCGGCGGGGCCTCGCCGGCGAGGGCCCCCTCGACGATCCCGCAGAGCGCGTCGGTCAGGCGGGCGCCGATGTGCAGGCCGCCGGCCCCGTCGTCCTGCACCACCCTCCGGCTGGTGTGCAGCACGGCGGACTCGCCCCTCGCCAGGGCGGCGGCCACTGCCTCCCCGGCGCGGCGCGCCTCCGCCGCCCCGGCGGCCCCCGCGCCCTCCGCGAAGGCCTCGACCCGGAGCTCCACGGGGGCCAGCCAGGGGCACTGCTGCAGCAGCACGGCCAGCTGGTCGGAGCTCTTCCCCACGTACGAGAGGGGAGCGAAGCATGACGTACACAAGCATGGCAGCTCGGAGGCCCGCGCGCGCGGGGCTTCTCGGATCGGCGCTGGACCCCCCTCCCAGGGCGCGCGGAGCGCGGATCCGAGAGATCCGCGCGGACCTCCGAAGGTTCCTGCTGTGCCACGGTTCGCTCCCCTATACGAGCCGACGACCACCAGCCCCGCCTTCCCCCCGGGCCCCGCCGACGTGCGGGCGAGCTCGGCGGCGCTGAGCAGCGGCCTGGGGGGCAGCGCCGCGCGCGCCGAGACCAGGGCCCCGGCGCTGCGGTAGAGGATGGGCCGCCTTGGGCCCCTCGCCAGCTCCGCCATCAGGCACCCCAGGGCGAACACCTGCGCGACGATCAAGAACGGGCCCCACGCAGGATGGCATGGTGACCTTACGCGGCGGCTTACTGTTGGAGACGCGGGGCGCTTTCGCGCGACCTTGCGCGGGCAGCCTACTCGCCAATATCGGCGCAGACGACCGCGTTTTTTGGGTTTTTTGTTTTTGTCGCTCACTTGCATGTCGCGCGTGGCCACGGCGTTCGCGATCACGACGCAGCCCGCGGGTGCGGCCGTGACCAGCTCGGCCACTGCCTGGGGCCCCGCCTCCCGGAGGAGGCGGAGGTCCACGGAGCACACCTGCGGAGCCGCGGCCCCGGCGTGCTTCTCCGCCACCCACTCCGGCAGCGAGGAAGCTGTGAAGCCGAAGGCCCTGTCGCGCGCAAACTCCGTCGCCCCGACGGGCGTCAGCGCCCTGACCCCGTCGGCCCCCGCGGGGTCGGCGACGTAGTGCACGTCCTCGGGGGGGACAGGGTGGTGCCCTGTGCCGTACAGCCAACCCGTATGATAAGGATACGCGGTGCGGATGCAAAGGCCCTTGAAGGCCACGTCGACATACGTCGACACTCTGCGAGCAGGGCGCGGCCAGCGGAAGCGGCCAAGGATGGGCCGAAGGGGAAGGATGCAAGGGCAACCTTGGAAAGTTGCTCGTCCTTCCTATGCGGGCTGACTGTGTGAGGTTCGTGCGGCGTCGGCGCGCGCAGGGGTTTTTGACACCACGTCGATCGTTCAACCTTGCCAACCGATCCCGATCTTTCAAGGTTGAATTCCGTCGGGCCCTGCGGCGTTACCGTGCCCCTCGTGCGGAATTCAACTTCAACCTTGAACGCCTTCGCCGGAGTCGCTGGCGCGCCGCATGAACCTACCGCTACTCCACGGACCTCTCCCGGGCTGTGCTCTGACCAGAAATCTCGGGAAGAATCGGCGGCGAGCGAGTGGGAGAAATGAGAAGGAGAAGGCCTTCTGAGAGGATGTCTGCGCCTTCGGGGAAGACTCCAAAGACACCTCAGAAGGCTGGGGAACTTCCGAGCCTCTGAGAAGGCCCGCCCCTTCGATGCATCGCATCGGCGATGCATCCGCGGCATCGGCGACGCATCCGTGCCGCTGGAGTGGAGAAGATCGAGCTCCACATCGAGCCGCATCGCCGATGCATTGGCGATGCGGCCGATCCTTCGACCCCATCTACAGTCGGGGCGTTGACCTAAGGAACCCTAAGAAAGGAACGAGGCCCATGTTTTCCCACAAGCCAAACTTCGATGTTTACCCTGGAAAACCCAAGAGGAAAACGTGAGGCACCGCGTACGGCAGCTAAGGAGCACGGAGCCCCTCTCCAACGAAAAGGGCTCCTTCGTCAGCGCTCCGACTGCACGCCGAGCCCATCTGGGCGGCCCGGACCCCCTGGGGCCCGCCGCCGCTCCGCGGACCTCTCCCGGGCTGTGCTCGGACCAGAGAGCCTCGCGGAGCAGCCCGCCTCGGCGACGACGGCCCTCCAGGACGCGCAGCGGCATCGGCACCCCCTGGGCCATCGCTCGGACGTCCACTCCCTGTGTTGTTTTCCGGTTTCGTGCGTGGCTTCTTCGCAGGATGGTCCAGGATGCTCCTCAATGCTCCCCGCCGGAGAAGAAGAGCACACGTCCGAGCGATGCCAAGGCCCTTTCCTCCTCCGGCGTCCCCCGCCGTGAGCCGCCCGCCCTCGGCGAAGAAGGGGGCCAGCACCACCGTGGGCGCCTCGGCTCTGCTGTGAGCGAGCGATGGCAGGGCACTTCCACTTCTTCCTCACTCGGCGGCGAGCCCCGGGGGGAAGTGAGAGGGGGCGGGCCCTCTCGGAAGGCTCGGAAGTCCCCCGGCCTTCTGAGAAGTTGTCTAAGCCTCCCCTGAAGGCGCAGAAGCCCTCTCAGAGGGCCGCAGCGCTCCTGAGAAATCCCGCCGCCTTCGGAGAAGGCCTTCGCCTTCTCACTTTCCCCCCTCTCTCGCGGCCGACGTCCAGCCAGACAAAGGATATAAAGCCCGTCCGCTGGCCAAGCCGAGGAACACTCAAGAACATGAAGGAGTCCTCTCCGAGCCGACCTCGGTCTCATGCCTTGGTCCGACCGTGACCGCACGAACTCCGCCTTTCAGTTGGCTTACTCGCCATCGCTCGGACGTCCATTCCCTGTCTTTTTCGGTTTCGTGCGTGGTTTTCTCGCCAAATGATCCAGGATGCTCCTCGATGGTCCTCGCCGAAGGAAAAATGCACACGTCCGAGCGATGCCAAGCTCAGTTGCACGGGAGTCGAAGCAAACCGTCTGCGATCGCAGCCACAGCGGCAGCACCACCGCCGCCGGCGCCTCGGCATCCCCGCCCTCCCCCTCCTCCTCCTCCTCCTCCTCCTCCTCCTCCTCCTCCTCCTCCTCCTCCTCCTCCCTCCTCCTCCCTCCTGCTCAATCCCTCTCGTGCCCCCCACGGCGACGACGACGAGGACGACGCGCCTCGGCATCCCCGCCCTCGACGCCCCAGCCGAGGCCGCGCGCCAGGGCCTCCGTCTCGGCGGGGTAGTGGCCGCGCAGGCAGGAATCGCCGCGCGACACCACCTGGAGAGGCCCGAAGACTTCGGGGCGCTTTCCTCGACGCTCGACCCTTCCCTCGTTTTTTCGCCCCTCTGGACCTCCTGGGAGGCCCTCGTCGCCACGGCTCCATTCGCCTCGACATCGTGATCAGAACGCACCCCAGGAGAGGTCTGGGGAGTATAGCGGTATAGGTGCCTCTAGGTTCCCCTGCACAGCGGCACAACCATCCCTGAGATCCGGGTGCTGCCGTTCTTTCACGGCTCCGGGCCCTGGGACCATTACCGGTCCATTCGGCTACACGCAAGAGTGACCCTGGGTAAGAGTGACCTTTGGTGCGCGGCTTTTTGGGGGCCGCGGGGGTGCCCAACACAAGCGCGCAAGACGCTACTACCGCATCGCGTTCGGCGATCGGGGGACCCAATGGGGCCCGCACCAGAGGTCACTCCGGCGAAAGGCCACTCATACGTCGTAAGTCGATCGATCTGGCTCGACGAGTGCGGCAGAAAAAGATGGGGTCCTGGGCTCCGGTCGCCTTTCCTTCGCGATGTTGCACCTTTCCTCGACGGCGGCTCTCGGGGAGGGCGGCACGCGCGGCGGCGGGACCTCTGTCGCGCACCCCGCGCCGTGCGAGGTGCGAAGTCGCTGAGATCGCTGGCTCGGGCGCGGCCTCGTGGGGAGACGACGAACGGGGGGAGGAAGACAGAGATACCTGATCGGGCACATGTCCTGCAGCCCAAGATCCCCCCCCCCACACACACCAATAGAAGCCTCCTGGATGGGGTCGGATGATCGCGCCGCATCGACGATACATCGGCGATGCATCGGCGATGCATCGGGGATGCATCGGCGACATCGGCGATGCATAGGCGACGCCAGCGCGGAGAAAGTCGGGCTCCACATCGAGCCGCATCGGCGATGCATCGGCGATGCAACGCGATCCCCGACCCCATCTACTCCGACCCCATCTAGGACGCCTAGAACCAAAGCATCCAGCGATATGATTTTTCAATCCGCAGCCCCAAAACTCCCGACCCCAACCTGTCGCCCCGGATCCGGCTTTGCCAGTCCCAGGGCCCGCTCGTGGGTCCCGGAGGCCGAACTCGAGGAAAAACGCTGGGATGTGCGAACAAATCGCGACATCATGCGACATCGTGAACAAACATGTGACATCGTGAAAATCGTGAAAACACGCCGGGATGCGCGAGCAAACGCGAATAGAACCCTGGACCCTATCGTTCTGAGGCAATTGCCGAGCTGGATCGGTCCGTGATGGTCCCAGGGCCCGAAGCTAGGCCGAACTGCCGAACGTGAAAAAATTGCAACGCCCGGACCTCAGGGTTGACAAACATCATTTCGTGGGAGATCTGGGCATTCATCCCCCCCCGTCGCGAAACGCCCGACTCTCGCAGTACACATCGGCGATCGGGCCGCATCGGCGATGCATCGGCGACGTTGGCGATGCATCGGCGGCGTTTACGTGGAGGAAGTCGGGGAGGCTCCACATCGAGCCGCATCGCCGATGTATCGGCGCGATCCTCCGACCCCATCTACGGTCTGGAACTTTCGGATAGCGCGTCGCCGCGGCGGCCCTGGCGACACGCTATGCCTTGCGAGCGGAGAGCGTGTCGCTCCGCTCCGCGGGTCGGAGGCTCTGAAGCCTGGGGACTGGGAAGTGGATAGCGTGTTGCACCGAAGCGTGGTGGGCCAGAACTGGTGGAGCGACGCGCTAACTAAAAGTTCCCGACAGGAGCGCCATGAATCGTTCGTGACAGCCCCGAGGCCCAGTGAGGCCCCCCAGAGGCCAAAAATGCAGAAAAACCTCACGTCATGTTTCTTCATGCCCCGACGAGGTCTGGGATCATCGTTGAGCAGGGGCTGACTGTCCCGGCATTCCTATGGGCCCACCGCAAAATATGTTCAGAACCCCCAATTAGATGTTCTAAGAACAAGAGCCTTTTCCTTCAGAACAGAAGCCCGATGTGTCAAACCAGGGACGGTCTCAGCCAGAAGTGCGCAAAAGAGCACTCCTTGCAAGCCGCACGAGGTTCTTTAGAACATGCTCTGGAGGGCCCACAGTCGGCGGTGGACAGACCTCCCTTTAGTAAACCTCCCTTTAGTGAAAACGGCCGGGGACCGAAACCGACGGACCTGGACCCGCAAAAATGACGGCCGCGACGCCCTCTCGCGAACCGAAAACGGCCAATTCACTAATCGACGTGTCAGGGTAGGAGGTCTATCCACCCCCGACACAGGCCAGCCAGGACGCCTCGCCACAGCTCGACGTCGCCCCGCAATCGGGGCACGCCCACTCGGCTCGCAGCGCCCTGGTCTCAGGGGCCCCCCGGCCACCGCCGACAAGGGGCCCACGCCGGCCCGCAGGGCCGCGGCCCGCAGGCCGCGGCCGATCTCCTCCGCGCGGGCCACCGCCTGCTCCTGAGCATCGTTGAAGCGATCCCTGGCCCCACTGCTCCTCGCTGCTGCTCCTCGCTGCTGCTGCTGCTGCTGCTCCTCGCTGCTGCTGCTGCTCCTCCTCCTCCTCCTCCTCCTCCTCCTCCTCCCCCTCCTCCTCCTCCTCCTCCTCTTCCTCCTCCTCCTCCTCCCCTCCTCCTCCTCCTCCTCCTCCTCCTCCTCCTCCTCCTCCTCCTCCTCCTCCTCCTCCTCCTCCTCCCCCTCCTCCTCCTCGTCCTCCTCCTCCTCCTCCTCCTCCTCCTCCTCCTCCTCCTCGGTTCCTCGGTTCCTCGCGGCATGGAACTCTTCAGACGTTGCCGCTTGCCCCAGGGGGGTTCGGTCGGGCGCCCCCCAGAGGGGGTTAGTGCCAGGAAGAAAAGGTTAGGGACCGAGGTCCCGCAGACAGAAAGGATGAGCAGGAATAGTGAAAGACCAACTTCCCTCGTCATGACATCAGGAGGAACTGGAAAAAGTGGGCCTCCGGCTCGAAGCAGCTCAAGGGGGGAGGGGAAAAAAGGGCAAGGGCGAGGAACGTTGCGGCAGCAGGAGGCGAGGGGCGTTGCGGTGACAGGCGGTGGGTGTGGGCAGCGGGCGGCCTGGGCGGTGGAAAATTCCGCGGGGCCCCCTGTGGGGTGCCGCTTGCACCAGGGGGGGGGGGGCCAAGGCCTCTCCCCTCTGCCCATGGGACTCCCCCGCAGGCGACCCGGAGAGGCCGACGGCGGGGCCCCGCGCCTGCGCGCAGGCGTAGGGCTCCTGGCACGTCGGCCTCTGGGCCGCCTCTGGGCTGCCCGCCGAGCGCGAGGGAGGTTTGGGCCCTCCCCCCATTGGCAGCGCAGCGGTGGCGCCGGCCACGCTCGCCAGGGTAGATGGCAGAAATGCCTCACCCCTTGCGCATAGGACCCCCCCTAACCTGCCACTTCCCCCAAGACTGGTACCCTCCCCCGCCGACGCAGGAGTAGCGTACGCAGATCGCGGGAGTGGTGGCTGCTTGCGGGGTTTCCGACATGCGTGGGGGTGGTTTCTGCCATCTGTGGCGGTGGCGCGGGTGTGCTGTGGTTTGTGGAACCCGCCTCCCTCCTTGCATCCAAGTAGCCCAAACCTCCGACGTTGCTGCAGGCAACTCTTGGTTGCGGTTGCTGGTGCCTTGGTGTCTGGGGTTGCGGTTGCTGGTACCCTGGTGGCTGGTGACAGTTGCCGGCCGGCTGCTACCGCAGCGGCCCTGGCCCTAGCCAGGACGGCCTGCGGTGAGTCCCTCCCGCGCCCCCCCCCGTATATCCCACCCCTCCCCCCCAAGAGGAGGGGTAGAGGAGGTTAGTCGGGTGCGGTTGGGGGGGGGCAGCAAGCAGGTGAGCCGGGATGAGGGGATGGTTGGAGGTTGGTGGAGGCCTTCAACATGTGACTCGCTTGCAGCCACCTGGGGGTGGTTGCAGTCGCCACTGATGTTTACGCCGCATTGTTCTGCCACCAAATGTGGGTGAGAAAGCCCCGTTGGGACCCGCGCTGCTCGCGGTCGCCATTGATGCTCACGCCTTAGTGTGCTGCCGTAGAGAGGGTGGGATCCCATGCCACCAGCTGTGCTGCTTCCGTCATGCGGTGAGTGCGTACGTGTTGGTAAAAAGGATAGTAGGTAGCAGCTGGCGGTCCTGTTTGCTGTGCGGCGCGAAGTAAGCGTGTGAGGATCTAGCGCACCGATCTCTGGGATGACTCTGTGACGATATGTTGTCCCTGCCGTTGCAGGGGCCTGCTTCTGCATCTGTCGGGGTGGGCGCGAGGGCGCTTCCTGGCATGCCGCGCAACCACTGTGGCGCCCTGAGGCCCGTTGCCGTGTGGGCAACCTCGTCCTCGCCTCGGGCAGCCGTGGGCCGCGCGGCCCGAGGGCGAGGGCGGGTGGGGGGGTGCCCCCTCCTGTAGGGTGGTCGCCGCCTCTGTCGCCAGGCGGCAAGGAGCGGGTTCGACGTGTGAGAGTCGTCCGGAGTGGCGAACTCGTCCTCCTCGGGGGTTGTCTCCCCTGACGAGGCACCGCTGTCTTCGCTGTCGTGCTCGTGGGGGTAGTCCGCGAGACTGTCGCGCGGGCTGTCGGCGCCGTCGCGGGGGTCGTCGCGGGGGTCGCGGCAGCCGCAGCCGTCTTCGCGCCCCGATCTTGGCCGTCGCCGTGGCGGAGGTCGCCGCGGGAGTTTGTCGCGGGGGTTGTCGTCGCAGGGGTCCTCGCCCCGGGGACGCCGTCAAGGGCGTCGCGGGTGGCCGTCGCGGGGTGGCGGGGAAGGGGGCCTTCGGCTCGGTTGTCCTGTCGTCCGACCAGCATCCCGTGAGGGAAGCGCTGCCCGCGTAGCCGAGGGAGGCGGTCGCCGGGTTCGTCGCGGGGGCCGTCGCGCAGTGGCCGTCGTGTGGGGTTCGTCGTCATGGTGGGTCGCGGGGGCGTCGGGGTTGAGTGGGAGGTCGCGGGGCCGTTGTGTGGGTCGTCGTGGAGGCCGTCGTGGGGGTCGTCGTGGGGGTCTTCGCGGGGGGGCAGTTGTAGGGCCGTCGCGGGGGTCGTCTTCGGGGTGCCCGGCTGTCCCTATGACCGCTTCCCCGGGCATGCCCCCTGCGGGCTCCCTCTCAGGGCATGCGGCCACTCGGAATCCTGCCAGGAGGTCAGCGGCACAGGCTGCGGGCTGGCTGGCCGCCCCTGTGGCCGCTTCCCCGGGAATGCCCCGTGCGGGCTCCCTCTCAGGGCAGACGGCCAGTCGGGGCGCGGCCGTCGCGGCTTCCTCCTCCTCCTCCTCCTCCTCCTCCTCCTCCTCCTCCTCCTCCTCGTCCTCATTCTACATACACCTCCCCCTCCTCCTCCTCCTCCTCCTCCTCCTCCTCCTCCTCCTCCTCCTCCTCCTCCTCCTCCTCCTCCTCCCTCATTCCTCCGTCCTCCTCCCCCCTCCTTCTCCTCCTCCTCCTCCTCCTCCTCCTCCTCCGATCCCACGGGCGTGGCCTGTGCCCCACTGGCTGATGTACTCTTCCAAATGGGAATATAGGCTGCTCCCCTCGAGCTTCGAGGGGCAGATCCCCAACTGGGGCGGTGGGATGCTGTGGATCGTGACGGGGATGTGGATATGGATCGGTTCAACGATGCTGAGCTCCGTTGGCAGCGCGCGCGTGTTGGCCAGCAGGTAGAAGCACGGCCGGTCCATGCTGAGCACGGGCGCGAGCGTCGGCTCCGACCAGTCCTCCCCCGGACGTCCAATGTCTCGAAGAATCGAGACACAATTTAGTTTCAAAACTTTCGGTTTTTAGGAGGCACTCGCCTGGACCGGGGACCACCGACAAACGACCCGGGATGAAAAACCGGCCCTGGGGAAAGGGTCGGGCCTTCCAGGGACCCCGTGTTACAAAGATGGTGGCATCGGATGTCTGGTCCCCCCCCGAGGCCAAGGGGGCGGAGGGGGGAGGAGGAGGATTTGGGGCGGAGCACGGCGTCGGCGGCGTGGACAGCGAGGGCGGCAGCGAGGACGATGGCGACGAGAACAACGAGGACGAGGAGGAGGAGGAGGAGGAGGAGGAGGAGGAGGAGGACGACGACGAGTAGACGACGACGGCGACGAGGAGGAGGACGACGACGGCGACGAGGACGACGAGGACGACTACGACGTTGACGACGACGACGACGACGACGTTGACGACGACGACTGCGTCGGCGACGAGGAGCACAGCCGCGACGGCGACGGCCGCGGCGGCGTCGGCGGCGAGGCGTCCGCCAGCACCGGCACGGAATGCGCCGTCTGCGTGCCGGTGGGGTCGTCGTCCACGACGGCCAGCGGCGCCCGCCCGTTGGCCCTCGCGGCGAGGGTTGCGCAGCGGAGCTGCAGGACGCGCTCGTCCTGGGAGCCCAGGGGGAGGGGGGGCAGGGCGGCACACAGGCCTCCTCCTGCTCCTCCTCAACCTCCTCCTCCTCCTCCTCCTCTGGCTCCTCCTCCTCCTCCTCCTCCTCTCCCTCCATCTCCTCCTCCTCCTCCTCTTCCTCCTCCTCCTCCTCCCCCTCCTCCTGCCCCTCCTCCTCCTCCTCCTCCTCCTCCTCCTTTTTCCTCCTCCTTCTCCTCCTCCTCCTCCTCCTCCCTCCTTCTCCCCTCCTTCTCCTTTTCCTCCTCCTCCTCCTCCTCGCTCGTCGCCGACAGTCATGGCAACGAGTCGAAAAAATAGCGAACACTCATGCTACACTCATCTGTCAACGCCTCCCCCCTCCTGCCCCCAATGTTCAAAGTTGGCGGTGGGTCTGATGAGTTGCACTAGCACTTCGACCGCAGTCTCCTCCGTGCGTGCGGGAGGGAGAGAGTTCGGCAATGTGTTTCCCTCTACCGCACGAGCGACGACAAAAAACAAGTCTTACGCAATATGGCATAGCGACCCTACGCGTTGGCTTACGCGGGCCGCCAACGTGGCACACGGCGTGGAGAAGAGGGCGCTGACGCGCGACCTTACGCGGGCAATTTACGCGCGCATGTCGGCACAGTCGAACCCGTTTTTTTTTTTTTTTTTTTTTTTTTTTTTTTTTTTTTTTTTTTTTTTTTTTTTTTTTTTTTTTTTTTCGTCGCTCACATG